CTTTGGTGGTAATCGCACACCTCTATCAATACGATTAAAAAGTTGTTTAATTGTATCCTTACATGGAGTGACTTTTATGGTCTGTAACTTACACCTCAGTGAAGCTCTCTAAAAAGCAAACCTCGGTCGGGTGCTGGGCTCCTGCAGCAGCAAGTAGCTGAAGCTTCCCGAGGACCTACTCTGGCAGGCATTGCTCTTGGCCCTACACCTGCATTAATCTATCGATTCCTCCATCAGCCTTTTGGGGTGGGTGGTGGTATCCCCTCTGCACAGAAGCAGCAACAGGACCAGGTTAGGAACCTGCCCGAGATCACAGAGAGTGGTGGTGGAGCCGGACTCCAGGCTCCAGCACTTAGGCATTCCTCAGCCAGTGTCTCTGGGATCAGGAATGGCTAGGCCAACAGTAGCTGTCCACTTCTCCAAACAGCAAACATTCCCCAAACGAGGGCCAACCCTGTCCCCTTTTCAGTGCCTCTTCCTCTTCCCCTGCAACCTGTCTCCTCCACCACCACTCCTTGCTACCCTGGACTATCCGATTCACTACCGGGCTTGTTCTTGCAACTAGAACACTAGCCAGGGAGTTCAAGATGGGCTTGGATAAGCCAGATTTCCTAGGAGCTGAAGCTTATTCCGCAGTGGCTCTTGAGGTTAACTCCTTTTCCCCTCCATAACGCCGGAATGCTTTTCACATGAATTACACAGCTCTTTGCAAAATAATGTAAGCATAATCATTCTGTACATTTACAGGATCTTTACAGGAAGTACAGAGAATAGGAATGAGGAACATACGCATGGTTTTCAGAAAGCAACCTGAACATTGCCATTCCTTCAAAAGAACCTGTTCTATACTCTCTGGCCTGAGGCAAATACCTAAATCTTTCCCAAGAAATGCATCATGAGAACCTTAACAGGCCTGGACACTCAGGTTAGGGAAGGATAATGCTCTTGATCTGAGATTACAAGGGATTTTTGCCCCAGTTCCTCCCCAGCTCCTGGAGAGAGCACTTCTTACAGAGTGCTGACTTGAAGAGCATGCAACTCAAATCAACATTTCCAGTACAGCAAAGCAGTGGTGGTGTGTGCAGGGCAGGGGCATTAAGGGAAAAAAGCAAGTGGTTTCCCTCAATCAGGACTCTTTCCCACTGGGTGAGGGAGCCCGGCGTTGGCTGGGTATGAGGTAGATTTCCAGCGGTCAGCCACTCAACGGAACACTGAAGCCTGGGGCTTTCTCAACTGCTGTCAATTGGCTTCCCCTGGCTCCTGTGGCCTTGGGTGAGGATGATGGACAACCTTGAAAAGGTTCTGAGATAAAAGCTTCCTTGTTCCCCTTGCAGATCACACGGAAGACTCTGAAGGCAGAGATCAGCCTAATTAGGGCTACAGCGCTCCTATAGTTCCAGGGACGGGAAACTTAAGCTGCCACCAATCTTCAGAGCTCGAGGCTTTCTGTTCACACCAGAAACACCCTTCACTCCAGTCTCCCTGCTCTTTGATCATATTCTAGCTGCAAAAATAATGAACACCCCGAGCTCTAAAATACTGAGACCTGGAGAGAGCTGTTAGAGGCTAAAGCCCCAACCTGTGACTCAATGGGGTCTTGACTTCCCATCTCCCCTCTAAAGTTGGGGGAACATTATGGCTTCAACAAATTCCTCCAGGATTTGTGAGGCCTGGGATAAGCTCAAAATTGGCCTCTTTCTGGCTTGTGTAGCAGCACCGAGAGAATGCTTAATAGGAAATGCCCCCCACACAAGATTCCTAGAAGGATTTCCCTAAAATACCAATCTGAGAGTCTCACTGCCCTCATCCTGCATTAACACTCTTCAGCTTCCTGGGGCGCCTGGGTGGCTCAGTCGTTAAGCGTCTGCCTTCAGCTCAGGTCATGATCCCAGTGTCCTGGGATCGAGCCCCGCATCGGGCTCCCTGCTCAGCGGGGTGCCTGCTTCTCCCTCTCCCTCGCTCCCCCTGCTTGTGTTCCTGCTCTTGCTATCTCTCTCTCTGTCAAATAAATAAATAAAATCTTTAAAAACAAAAACAACAAAAAAAACACTCTTCAGCAGTTTGTCCCACAGTCAAACCTGCGTTTTTCGGCTGAGCCTCAGCATCTTCTCATGAAGTGTTTCCTCCTCTAGCCCTGTCTCTTACATCATATCTCTTAGGTGACAGCTAAACTTCCCATGGTGAGTTCACCATGCTTTCTCTTTTCTCCCCCAGGCCTTTACATCTTGACCTGTATAGTCCTTCTCATACCCCCTCAGTCTGCTGTCAGGACCCATCTCCCACAAAATGCTGCTGGACACACTCTCCCCAGCTCTCCCCCTTCCCCGCTCTGCAGGCTGAGTGGTGCGATCCCTAAGCATCCCGGTGACATCACTGTTACAGGGCCCAACCCTATGGCGGTGGCACTGCCTGTGGGCCTGACTGGCTTCTCTGGGAGGCCCAAAGCTACCTGAGGACGGGGACTCGTCCTGACATCTTCCTGACCCCCCAGCCCAGTCCACAGCGCACTCCAGCTGACAGACATTTACCCAGTGGACGGGGGAATCAACCATAGCAGGCAAAAGAGAAAGCTCTGGATTTCTGAGAACTGTGGGCTCTGCAGGGTCTGTGCTGAGGAGCTAGTGGGCAGCGCAGTTTTATCAGTGTGTATCCCAAATCATAAAGTCCAAGATGAGCTTCCTGGCTCCTGGGATGCATGAATGAAAAGCACAGGCACGTGTACACACTCTCCTTTAAATGGGAGTTACTGTGTACCTACTGTGTGCCAGGCAGGGCACTTGGGCTCTGGGGGTGAATGGACCAGGCATGCTCCTGCATGATGGAGCACTGTGCCAGGTCACTGTGGGGAATGGCACCTTCCTGTTGGAAAGGAAAGCTGGTAATAGATTTATAGACAACGGGCCACATGAGAACTTTAAAGAACGGGCTGCGATTCAAGAGTCTTCAGATAAACTTGATAAAGAGTCTTCTACGTGGTGGTGAGTAAGCATCTTTCCTGAGAGAAAGTGGAGACAGGAGAGGAGGAAGTGGGTTTCAGAAGCGGCTTTGGGGACCCTGGTACAATCTCAGCTCGATTCCTGTGATGGTGGTAAGAGGCAGGAGAGCTTAAAACTCCCTGCCAGAGGAGAAGCCGCAGCTCCTCTCGGCACCTGTGGGAAGGTGAATGAAGGCAGGAAGTCCAGCTCCACACACTGGCCCCTGCCTGCTAGGACACGTCTGCGCTCAGACCAAACCAGCATCGAACCCGGAGTCCACGATGTGTGAGCCCACGACCACAAATCTTGGTCCCCGTCATCCAGAGCATGGGGCTATTCCTGCCACCTCCCGGGATACTGTGAGGACTGAGCGAGACAACGCGCTGGGACGTGTTCGGTACGCACTGCAGTGCAGTCTGCACATAAAAGGCTGCCCGGGTTAGGGTGCTGATGTCACCGTCAATCAAGGCACTACATAAAGACTGAATGAAGCGATGATTCAGATGCTTAGCTCTTGTGGTAAAGTCGGGTGAGTCATATTATATTGTATTATATGACATCACAATATAATTATACACTGTGACAGGATACATAGTATCATCTATTAAGTAATCAACAGTATCAGTTTGCATTTACGGAGCACGATGCGCCAGCCCTGTTCTACGCACTTCCTGCCCTAAGAGGTCTACTATTGCCCTTATTCTACAGGAGAGGAAACTAAGGCCCAGAGAGTCTGAGTAACGCACCCAAGTCATAAAACCAAAAAATTGTGAACCCAGATGGCGGGGCTGCAGAGCATGGCCTCTGGCCACGAACAGGCACCCAGAATATCAGACATGCTGCCCTGAAGCCTGTGCCCACCGCTCTCTCTCTCCAATAGCAGCAGCCAGGACTGCCCAGGGCTCTCCAGCCTGTCGCCGCAAACCTTCCCTTAGAAACCTACCTGGGACCTCCGGTCTACACCTACTTACATTTTCAACACACCACTGCTATTTTAGCCTGCACGGTCCTCATCCCCTATTGTGTAAAGATCTTTTGATCATCCCAAGACACTCTGCTTTGCCTTTTAAGAGGAGACCCCCTGCCCACAGGGGTTCTGAATCTGTCTATTTGTAGCTCTGAGCTGCTTTTGAGGACTAAGGAAACAGAATGATGCCAATGGTGCTCTTGGCCTTTACTGCCATGAGAGCACAAGCCAGAGTTTGCAAGCTCTGTTGGGGGTGGTGGACTCTTGGGTCCCCCCCCCCAACGTTAGCACTGAAACCCTCCTTTTATCTGTTTTATACTTAGGCTTCATGTAAAGTTTCATTTGAAAAGGGGTCGTGTTTGAGAAGATATTTGAAAACCACTAAAAAGTCCTAACATATTTGGAATTATTGAACATATATTAAAAGAATGCTTAGAAACCCCTGGTTTCAGCCCCTGCTGTTCTTAGGGTGAGAAACGAAGATCAGGCAGGATCAGTGAACAGTCTCTCTGTCCCTCTCCCCACCCAAGTCCTTGTGATGTCCCTCCGAACCCATTCAGGGCACAGGTCTGATGGTTCAGGACGGCTTTACCTTGACCATCCAGTCTCTCCCATTCTAAGTTTCCATTTTGACCTTCCACCATCATAAAGAACATTCTTTTTAAATTTTTTTTTTTATTTTTAAGATTGTATTTACTTATTTGACAGAGAGAGAGAAAGAGTGTGAGCACAAGCTGGGGGAGCTGCAGAGGGAGAGGAAGAAGGCGGCTCCCTGTTGAGCTCAATCCCAGAACCCCTGGGATCATGACCTGAGCCAACGTCAGACGCATAACTGACTGGGCCACCCAGGTGCCCCCAAAAAGAACATTCTTAACCCAAGGGCAGACTAAGTCCCTTCGGTGACCATGACAGTGCATGCTTCAAAATTCCATCAAGCCATTACCCAGCTTCTGGAGCCTTCCAAAGCAGGAAAATAACCACAGAAACACAATGAGCTCTTAGCTGTTCATGAGAGCCCCCTGGCGTGATGGGTTAAAAGGACTTCTGAAGAGCCTTACCTGTTTTTCAATGAAAGCGTTGATTCTCTGTAGCATTCCCTCACATGTGAATTCGTATGGCATATATGGCTCAATCTGTGGAAATAGACCATGGTATCATGAAAGAGGAGGACACAGAACCTAGGACACTTACCCAGTCCTCCCCTGATTCACACACACTCACGTGCCTCAAGAGGGGCTATGACTAAGAACTCGGATGTCAACAGACCTGGGTTTACAAGCTCACTCTACTCCTCGCCAGCTGTGGGACCCTGAGCAAATCACCCCCCATCTCTGAGCTTCAGGTTCTTCATGTGCCAAACGGAGAGAGGAAAAATCTACCTCTTTTAAGCTGTGGTGAAGGTTATGTGAAAAGAAAAAAAAGTAAAGTGCTTAGTTTGGTGTCTAGAACACAGTAGGCATTCCCCAAAAGGTGGGGAGTATCACTGGTTAGAGGTTAAGCTCCACAGGGCAGGCTCCATGGCCACGGGGCTGTGGGGCTCACGGGGGAATACAGCAAACACCTGCTGAATGGATGCTCAATGCTAGGAGGGCACATGATGAGTGGTTAAGGAGCCAGAATGGTGACAAAAACACTGGTCTGCACTTGTAGGTGAAGTTAGCACATACCTAAAGAACTTGTGGGGCAGAAACAGAGTCACAAAGTGCCACAAAGAGTTCAGCCAAGAGGCCCAGGAGGCTATAAAGTCAAAGCACACTTCCACTCATGCTGGGCTTTTAAAGCCAGCTAGGATTCCAGCAAGCCAAGATGTGGAAGCCATTCCAGGTAGAGCGAGTGGTAGGAGGTGAGACAGGCAAGAAGAATAGCAGGTGGGTAGAGCTTGGGATCGCAAAGGCTGGAGAGACAAGGCTGGGAAGAGGTTCACTGGATTTCCACAAAAGGATTTCTATACTAAGGAGCCCAAGCTTTATTTGAAGGCAGGAGGAAATCCCAGAAGGTGCTTCTCTGGGGTGGGGGAGGCAATGTGATCACTGTTTGGACACCTGGGGAAGGAGAAGACATGTGGGTTTGATCTCTGTTGCACAGCGTGTGTGCCAACACTATGAGGCTTGTGTTTTGGGGGCATCCAGCAAGTATTACCAATCTGAAATGGAAATTTTACTTTTACACTTGGGACAAAATCACTACCAATCCAGTCTGACAGCTTCAGAGAGCCCAAGAGCACCTGGGAGCAGCAGGACAGAGGGCCGCTGCTTAGACCTACACTTGCCGATCTCAAATTTACAGGGTGGAGAGCTGGAGAGAACACCTGTGAGTTGAGGCCTGTGGAAAATGGGACAGTTGACAGAGAAGTCATCCTCCCATGGGCAGCCAAGCAGCTGGTCACAGGGCACCTTCTCCCCTTTTTTTGTATGTCGATTCACACATTACATATGAACTCTTCTTTAACCATGACTATTAATTTCATAATACATCTTCAAATCCACAATCATATAATGCATCACACAGGTTTTATCTCAGCCATCCCTGCCTACATCCATCCAGAGAGAGCTAAAAGAGGCTGAGTCATAAGTATGATACTACCGGGGCAGGACTATTCTGCAAGAACACAGGTCATCTCGTTCCTCAATAGATCACCTCAGAAGAGCTCAAAATACTTAGAAAACTGACTTCAATGTTGCAAGCCTGCTCCTTCTCACCTCAAGCTTTTGCACGTGCTGTGCCCTTTCCAACCCAGACATAGCTCTTCACACCAAAGGCAAATTTTTCTTTCCTTTTAAAGGGTATTTATTTATTCAACCTGTGGGTGATTCCAGAGGCTTACTAGGACTGGTCTACAGATAGGTCTCCTCTCAAAGGTTCACAGAAGGAACAGAAAGAAACCACAACAGAGGACTTGGCATATCAGGCTCATTTATGTGGTGACAAGTAGAATTTCTGGAGTGAAATAACCATTGGTGGTCATCTGTCACAACATCAACAGATCTAATTATGTGGTAGGAAGGAGGCTGAATATTCAGGGGCCATTCCTACAACTTATTCCAAAGGGCATCCTTTAGAAATCCTTTAGAAATGGAAATGAATTATCTCAAAGGGCAATAAATTATTTCAAATGCAATAAATACAGAAAAATGGCTCTTCCTGTGTCCTCCTACTAACCAAACCCAATTTAACCAAAGGGATGCTGACTCATTAATTACTTGGTGGCCTGTTCACTGTTTTAAATAATATGAAGCCAAATGACTTTCCTATAAAGGAAAAGCAAACAAACAAACAAAAAAAAGGTAACTGTATTCTTAAACCACCCCTGCCAATGGGTTCCACCAGCCATCCTGCTGTGGACAGGAACAGGGCCCTTTGTGTGGGAAAGTTGTCCAGACTCCTGGCTTTGGATATAAAAGAACCCTGGCAAGCCTCTGAGGTAGGAGCTATTGTGGGGACTGGGGCAGGAGGCCTGGGATAGTTTTCTGCATGATAATCCTTCAGGAACAAGTCAAGGCCTCCTTGTGGAATGGAATGAAAGGGAATGCTGAGAGCACATCCAGTTATGGAGAAACCGAAGTGGGGCCAGTTGTGGAGAAACAGGGAAAAGGACCACTACTCACATGGCCACAGGAAGGAAGCCTGTAGGCTATACTGTGTACTTCCTGCTGGCCCTGGAAACCTTCCATTATCTTCCCACCTTTTCCTTCCTTTTCTCTTTATCTCCCTTCTTGTGAGATGTCCTGTCTCTTCTAGTACCCACTCACTGCTCTAAGTCTGAGTACAATTCCTACAGGGAACTGCTCTCAGAGATCAGCTGACCCTGGACAGAGGTGGCTTGGCATCACTCAATGAGAGGTGGTCTTGGAAGGTACCAGAAGACCAGAAGTTGGGTCCTGACTGTCTCCTCTATCTACTAACCAGAGAATTTTAAGTCAGACATATTCTGCAATTTCTCTTGATAATTTCAAATGTAAACTAGGTCATGCCATTCCCCTGCTCAAAACTTCCTGTCATACTTAAAATAAAAATCCAGAATTCTTAGCATGACCTGTTTTAAAGGCCCTACACATTCTGCCTCCGAGGGACCTTTTTTATGGTCTCCATTATTTCTGATGAGAAGTTGGTGGTCTTTCATACTGTTATCCCCCTAAGTGTAATAAATTTTTCTCTGGCTGCTTTCAAGACTTTTTTCCCTAATTTTTTTGTTTTCAGCAGTTTGGCAATGATGTATATTTGTTTTTCTTCATATTTATCTTGCTTTGGGTTCACTGCGCTCCCAGGATCTACAGGTTGATGTCATTCATTCATTTCAGAAAATTCTTAGCCATTATCTTTTCAAATATGTCTTCTGGCTATCCACTCCTCCTTCTGAGATTCCAATTATACATAAATTGGGCTGTTTGATATTGTCCCATAAGTCTTATGTTTTTTCTTAATTTCATTCTTTTTTCTCTTTTTGTTTCAATTTGGAAAATTTCTCTTGATAAGTCAATATCTTGATAAGATATTGATAAATTCACTGATATTTGCCTCTGCTGTGTATACTCTGATGATAAGGCCACTGAAAGAGTTCTTCATTTCCAATTATTTTTTAAGTTCTAGCATTTTTTCCTTTGGTTTTGAGAAAAAGTTTCTAGCTTTCTATTGAAATTCCCCATCTGTTCACATATACTGTCCACCTTTTTCACCAAACCTTCTAATACATTTATCCGAGCATTTTGAAGTTGCTTTCTAATAAATTCCAACACATCTGGGCCATCTCTAGGTCTGGTTTTAATGAGCGTTTCCTCTCTTAATGATGGGTCATTATACCTTGCCTTTTTGAGTGTCATGTAATTTAAAATCTTGTAATTAAATATGAGAAAGCCTGGCACTAAATTTCTGACCCATTTCTAACAAGCGTAAGGATTTTAATGACAATAGTTTTTGTATTAATCTCATTACTTACTTCACCTCTCAGTCCCACTCTTATCTTTCCCTTTACTTCTTTCCATATTTCTTTTCCTTTCTAAACTTTATAATGCACTAGTCAAAAAGACCTAGGCTTCAATCCAGGTTTTTACTACTTACTAGCTGTGTGATCTTGGGTAAATTACTTAATTTCTTTAAACCTCAATCTTTTTATCTGTAGAAGAATTATGTGAGATAACGATTGAGATAAGGCTCATAATGATTAAATGAGATAAGGCTCATAAAGATATAGAGAGATTCCAGATGTGTAGAAGAGATTCTCTCTACATAAGAGCTACTATTATAATTACTATTTTTCTCACGTGGTCTTGAATAATTTTTGGAATAAGGTGGAAAAAGATCGATCAGAGTTTTAAAATGTAGAGCACTAGAGGTTCCATGGAGTGAAGAGAGTCTATCTCATGTAGCAATGAGCAAATACAACTCAGTGCCTCACTCTGTGCTTTCTGTATCAGGCATTCCCTTAGATTTTTGTTTGACAAAAGCGATCTATCACCTAAAAAGTTTTGTACTCCATGATCCAAGATTTTCTGCCTCTACGTTACCTTTTCAATTACTCATTTTTCAAGGGTATGTGCACTTAACCAAGTGTTGTGGGTTGAATTTATGTCCCTCAAAAAGAAAATGCACAAGTTCAAACTCCCAGTAGCTGTAAATGTGACGTTATTTGGAAATAGGGTCTTTGCAGATGTAATCAAGTTAAGATGAGGTCCCAATTAGACTGGGGCCTAATCCAATATGACTGATGTCCTTCTAAGAATGGCAAAGACAGACACACAGACACACAGACACACAGGTTAAGGTGCTGCAGCTGCAAGTCAAGGAAAGACTGGGGCCACCAGAAGATGCAAGAGGCAAGGAAGAATCCCCCACTATAGGCCTTGGAGGGAGCACGGTCCTGCCGACATCCTAATTTTGGACTTCTAGTCCCTGAAACTGTGAGAGAATAAATTTCTGTTGTTAAAGTCCTGAGAAGCTAATACCCTAAGGGACTCAGGGACTCAAGAAAGAAAGATAGAACCATTAGCCTCCATAGGAATGACTCTCTGGTGGTGAAGCCCTGGCTGTGTGGCAGATATTCTGAGGCAACCCAGTGGGGCCACACTCCACTCAGCCTCTTCCCCTTTACTCACACTGTGCCTTGAACCCATGTCCCTCTGGTCCACTTCTCAGTTCAGCTTTGCAAATTCCTACTTTTCCTAAAAGACTTAACCCAGTGCTGCACTTTCCAGAAAGCTTCCTCCAACGTCCACTTCTCCATCTTTTGCATGTTGTTGTTGGCACTGAACACATTCGGCAAATACCTATCCCTCCCTCTCTCAGTCCATTAGGTGAATCACTATGCTGGGTACAGAGTACAGCAGTGAGACAGATATATTTCCGGCCTTCATGTTGCTGGCAGTCTAGTGTAAATCCAGACTGTTGATCACAAAAATAAGAATATTATATGTGTAATACTAATAGTGACTTAATAAAAACAACTAAACACTCACTATGTGGTAGACGTTCCACTTAAGGGCTTTATATTCATTATCTCATTGACTCCTTACAAATACCTATATAGTAGGTACTACTACTTAAAGAGATGAAGAAACTAAGACTCAGAGGTTAAATAACTGCCTGAGGGGACGCTACTAGTAGGTGGTCGGGCTGGAACCCCAACCCCAAGCTAACTGCAGCCCGTACTCCTTACAACCATGCCTCTACTGCCTCTCCTAAATAACTGTTAACAGAGTATAGTGTTCTAGTAGGAGGAGTACAGAGAGCAGGGTGCACCCAATAGTGTGGAAGGCAGTCGGGGGGGTTGGGAGAGGTAAACTTGGCCCATCCCCACTGGGCAGTAAGCCTCCTACAGGCTGGGAGCCAGCCTCAATTATGTTTATGGAAGTGAGTGTCCCCTAAAGTGGCTCAGAGGGTGCTCTGCCTACAGTAGGTACTTAATAAATGTCTGCTAACTTGATCAGGAGAATCCAGAGATGTCAGTTACTTATAAATACAAAATTCTATTAAGATGTTTAGGTAAAAAAAGTCAAATGAATAAATGCTATATGAAAACATTTCCCAGTATTTCCTTAATAGCTCCTATCATTCTTACTTTTTGGTAGGGGAGCTGGTTTGTGTTTTCTGATTTCTATGAGAGCGACCATCATTAAGCAGTGAAACAAATGTAATTCAACCTCCTACTATTATATCTGGGACCCAGCAATCATGCCAAAAGGTTCTGGGGAGTCCACGCACACAGGGGCACCAGCTCTGTTCCCACCCTCCAGTGCACCCATGAACCCTCCCCGGGCCAAATCCTACACTGTGGCTCTTTTCTAATCTCAGAGTTAAGCTGACATGGAAATGTTCTAATCATTCTACCAGAGGGCCTGTGAGGCTTTCCACACATTCCAGTTCACAGCACAGATGGGGAAAACGGAAAAAAAGATACAACCTTCTGACTTAAAATTGCTTTCACGGCATCTCCCACTTCCTCCTGATTGCTGAGGTCAACCGTCCAAACGTGGGGCCGGCCGATGAAAACTTCAGCATAAGGATGCTGGGATGTCAGCTGGAAGAGAAAGACAAAGCAGCTCAGTCTCACAAACTTTTTTCTTTTTTTTTTTAAGCCTTCTGTGCTAGATGAAGCGTTTTGTTTTTATGGCATTGTACTTTCATAGCTAACAAGACATTTTTGTCCTTCCTTGATGATCAAAACCTCCTGAGGACCCATAAGTAGAAAACAATAAAAGAATGAGAGCTCCACATCTTGAATCCCACTTGGAAATGTCAAAACCAGGTGCCACAGTGGCTGTTACAGGTGGTTCCGACCCCCAAAGCTGCACCAAGATACAGGTGGTTCCGACCCCCAAAGCTGCACCAACTGGAACAGTTAACTCTTGGTCATATCGCAGCCCTGAAAATCCCCTTGGTCTAAGTAGTATCTGTTACAAGACACAGGTTAGGACACACAGGTAAGCATGAGAAAATTATAATAAAGCCAAAAGCTTTAAAGTCATAAGAAGATGAGTAATGGCACATACGAAATGTGAAGAAAGAGAAATAAGGCTACCAGAAAAACAGAATTTTGGAATGGTTTCAGGACGAATCATTAGCATCATGTTGGAGCCTTAATACTGATAAAGACAATTCAGATTCAGCAAAGCTCTAAATTTGGAGGTTTTATTTTAAGAACAAAGGGTCCAAAGAAACCCAGGATGAAAGCTGGTGATTCTCCGTTCCTGAAGGGTCCTTCCTTTGATAGCTAAATTTACCACCACCCAAACTGGCTTCCACCTTTATGCTTGTATCCCTTTCAGGGAGTAATGGGAAGGGAGCTTTCTGGACATTCGTGAGAGCATTTTCAGTTCTCCCGAAGACTGGGGGTGCTGCCTTGAGCTGCGCCCGAACCTATGGCTGAGGACCGGGGGTTGCAGATGGCTCACGAGGCCCTAAAGTCCTGCACGAGGGGGGCCGTCCGCTCCCCATTCAGCTTCCACCTGCCCTGCAGGGCTTCCACATGGGGTCACAGGATCCAACTCTCTGGCACAGTTTTAATATACATTGAATTTCCCAGGAATGTAATTACCATGTAAATCAAGGGATGTTTGTACTGTGTTTTCTTTAGAACTTCACCCATAAGCTGTTAACCACTTTGGAAAAATCAGGGCAGCCGAGTCAATGTCACTCAGATGAGGTGAGTCTCCATTACAACATATCCAAATCAGTCTGTATTTGTAGCTCTCACATTAATGGCAATTGCATATGTATGTATACATATATATATGTATAGGCACTTTTTAACTTAGCTTCTCTTTTATAATATCACTTATAAGCAACCATAAGCCCTTACCAAATAAGGGCTAACCATATTCAGCTGAATGTTTTATTCTTCTTAAGTACAAACTTACTCATTGTAAGGAGGAATGAGACATGTTTTCTACTATAGTTCTTGGGTATGGCATAATATTCCTTGACTATATATATACTGAAATATGTATTTCCTTATTGAAAATTATTTTCCTTTATGTTAGGGCTAGGGAATCATTCTTTTTTTTGAAATTACATATGTAGGCAGGGTATATTATTTAGGAATTTTATTTCAGGACAGAAAAGTAGATTTTACAATATACTTGTGGGAGAAATACAGGTGTTGGGTCTGGTAGGGTTGAGGCTGTTTCTTTAGAGGTGAAGCTGGTTCTCTTTTTCTTCAGACTCCAGTATACACAGAGGACGGGATGATTTAACTGGCCTCTCTCCATCTCACTCCTAGCCACCATTCTTCGTATCCTACCCTCACCAACTGTGTGCGCGCAATACTTAGGGCAGGAAACCCAGAGTTTAAGTTACTGGGCCTCAGCTCCCAGTTGTCATTGGTACCCTCTCTCATAGAAATCATGATTCTCTCTCTCTCTCTTTTTTTGAAGAGTTATTTATTTGAGAGAGAGAGAGAAAGTGGGGGAGGGGCAGAGGGAGACAGAGACTCTTAAGCAGACTGGCTGCTGAGTGTGGAGTCCGACATGGGGCTCGATCCCAGGACCCTGAGATCATGACCTGAGCTGAACTCAAGAGCCAGACGCTTAACTGACTGAGCCACCCAGACGCCACTGGAAATCATGATTTTGAGGAGAAAATATCCTAGACTTTCCTCCTGCCTCCTCTGCCAGAATCACGCCCCTTGCTGGCCTGTTCAGTTCCCCATTCTTCTGACACGTACCCTCTTCTTTCGCTCAGCCACATGGTCAGTGATAGAACCTACAGAGTGACCACAGCCCCTCATGGAGCTGGGGAAGAATCCTTTTCTCTTTTTTTTTTCCTCTCAGCACACATTTTAGATTCAACACATATCAGTGAAGCCCCTGGCTGGCTCAGGCACTGTGCTGATGACCCGCATATGCATTATTTATCATGTTTCCTGTGTATCAATCAGGATTTTGAGATTTACAGGGGTTTACAATTCTGCAAGACCACACAGCCAGGAAGTAGCAGGGCAGATTCAAATTGAGGTCCTTCAACAACGCATTAGCTTTGGACGGAAAGGAAGATGACAATTTTACAGTACCTACAGGGTTCTTTAGACAAAGGCGAAAAGAAGCCCAAAATAAACTCCAGTCTTTTAATCACGCTCCTAAAACTTGCCAAACTAAAAAAAAATCCCAGGATTGAATTTATGCCTGCAGTAGAGCTTTTCTGAAGACGAGCAAAATGTCACTCCGTTTTCACTTGGTGGCCTGGAGAACAAACTGATTAAATCTTCCAATGGAATCAGGGGGTAAATTAAAGTTGTCATCAATGTCACTATGCAGCCACTTAAAAATTGGCAGTCTCTCCCCCCTCCCCTTTATAAGGTCCTTGCTTATTTGCAAGGTTGCTCTAAGCACTTGGAAAATACAGAATGCTGAGCCATTATCATTTTATTCATTTATATTTACTGAGGGTTACTAAATTTTAATGAGTAAGGCATTTTGTAATTCATTATTTCCCCTCTGAATGTTATGCTCCTCCCTGTTAATTTATTGAGAACCATCTGATCTGAGCTACTTCACTGTATATCAATCAGCAAATTTACTGGAGTATAGTTTGTAAAAGTAATGAAAATCTTATTAAATATGAAACATTATTACAGAGTGGCTATTACATTTCTAAGGAAAACATGAGTTCTCTTTATGGAAAAAAACCCTGAAGCCAGAGAATTTCTAACAGTTTACAAAATGTCCAAATAATGATTAAGAACCTACTAATGTGTTTCCCAATATAAAGATAAAAATCCAATTTATATCACATTGAAAGTATAACCTGAACCGACCACATTACTTAAGGCATATGGAACTTTTTCCCTTGAGTATACATCGTGGTTTTAAAAATTGGTCCAATGTAAAAGACAAAACTGTCAGGTAGAAATTTAGACTTTTTGTCTCCAAGGCAAAGAAGGGACATATATGCAATTTATACAGATTGATTTATATGGATCAATTGTTGCTTAACTGGAAAAACTAGCAAGGGCACAAAAAATAGCTTTGCAATTATGTCCACTTTGGTTAAAATTTTTCCATTTGCAGAATAAAAAAAAGAATAATTGATTTCTAGGGATTTTTGACCCTTGGGCTTCTGTAGGACTGCTGATAGCACTCTCCCAGTGAAAAGCGGTTTTGGTTAGGGGGATTTTGTGGCTTTTGTGGGCTGAAAGGGCAGAGTGGGTGGCCCACCTGGCCTTGAGGTCAAGTTCACTGGGTCCTCCCAAAGCTGGCTCCCAGCCTGCTCTCTGCACTGTCTCCCGCAGAGAAGGAGACAGACATCAGATGGAACCTGCCCTCCTGCATAAAGCAGAGTGACCTTCTCGGGATTTCCCTCCAACTCATCAACATTCATGCCTTTTAGGCTTGAACCCCACCCCCATCTCCTTCCTTCCCTTTACAGCACAGCTCCTCCACCATCCCCCTTTCAGTTAACCCACCACATTCTCCACCTGGCACAATTCCAGGCTGACACTCCCTCCTCAACTTCGCGATTTCTTTCTGTATCAAAACCTGAGCTCCTGGAAAACAGGAAACGGGTCTTGATAAGTTTCCCCAATGCTGCAGCTAGTACCCTGGGCCCTGTTGGGGACACAGCGCACATCTGTCAACTGACCTTTGGCATCCCAGCCCTCCTGTGGGAGCCCAGGACTGATGGAGTCATCCGTGTGAGGTCACTTTCAGAGCAACTGAGAGGACCCCACAGTGTCATTCTAACTAGAGTCCCATTTAAGCACAGGCAGAATCATCTCAGGGGATGGGAGGAACCAAGCACCTAGGGGTGGGGGCAGCTCTAACGCCTATTCTCTTCTTATGCCATGAAGAATGAAAAGCCTCCACCACCTCACTGAGAAGCACATTACTAAGTGATGACAATGGACAGGAAATGATGAACATCCTTTCCTCAATAACTTAACACGGGCTGGTCTGATCTTGGTGACATTACAGCACTCACTGGGAAATGGACTGTGGATGAGTGTCCTCATTTTCTTTCTTTCTTTTTTTTTTTCAGGAAAAAACAGTTGTAACAAAGTGTCATCAAAATCTTTAGAATTACTAATAACAAAAAGGTGCCGGTTGCCAATGTAGTCTAAGATACTTTTGACTGATCATTTCCCAAAGGCTCATATATAGAAACAGCAACGAGAAAAGACAGGTTTCTTAGCTCTTCACGTATTCAAAAAAAATCACAGTGGGGGGGGACCCCACCATTAGAACTACCATAATAACTGTCGTAGGCAAGATCCGCCGACACATGGTAAAAATAAATGGGCAAAAGTTTGAAGAGAACCAGAACTATTTGCATAGTTTTGAAATATTTTTTCCAATATAGAGAAAAATAGTAACTTTATGGTGAAGAAACCCAGCAGGCACTACCTGAACCAGTAATTAGACTGAGATCATGGCGCCCCCCTCCCCGATATGACACACTGAGAAGGCCATACCACTTCTCTGACAGTCTTGCTAAAAATGCGTCATCTCAAACTAACCACTAGACAACATCCGTCAAATCCAAAGTGGGCAAGGGCCTACAAAAAGGCCAACTGGGACTCTTTCAAAGTGTCACGGTCGTGAAGGACAGTGAAGGACTGAAGAAGTGTCACAGACTGGAGGAGATTAAGGAGACACGGCAGGTAAATGCAATGTGGGGTCCTGGACTGGATCTCAGAACCGCAAAAGGATATTAGTGGGAAAAAAAATGGCCAAGTCCAGTTAGACTGTAGTTTAGACAACACTGTGATATCAGGGTTCATTTCTTAGTTTTGATAATTGTACTGTAGCTTTGTAATATGTTACCATCAGGGGAAGCTGGATGAAGGTGTTAAACACAAACTCTGTACTCTCTGTGCAACTCTTCCCTAAGACTAAAACTATTTCAAAATAAATAAAAAGTAAATTCCAACAACTCCACTTGTACATAGAATGAAGAGCAAGAACCCAAGCAGATACTTGTACACAAATGTTCACAGCAGCGTTATTCACAACAGAGAAAAAGTGGAAACAACCCAAGTGTTTGTTAACAGATGAACAGATAAATAGAATGTGGTGTATTTACAGAATGGAATATTATCCAGGCCTCTACAAGGAATGAGATTCTGACACATGCTATGAACTTTGACAACATTATGCTAAGTGCAACAAGCCAGTCATGAAAGGATACTGTCTGATTTCACTTACATTAGGTAGCTTCTAGAAAAGGTAAATTTAGAGAGAACATAGGTGAGAGGTTACCGGTGGCTGTGGGGAGGGGAGAATGGGGAGTTGGTGTTTAATGAACACAGTTTCTATTTTGAACGATGACTAAGTTCTGGAGGTGGGTGGTGGTTATGGTTGCACACGACTGGGAATATACTTAATACCAGTGAACCATACACTTAAAATGGTTAAAATGCTAAGTTTTAAATTATGTATATTTAATCACAACAGAAGTAAAAAAAAAAAAACCAAAATTACAAATAATTATTCCAATGTGGGCAGAAAAACTTCAGAGATTTCTTACACCTAACTTAAAATGTAGGGATGATTTATTGACCCAAATTTTCTATCCTAAACTCTATCCTAAAAGTTTCAAAGAAGTCAGGAGCATGGTAGAGCAGAGATTCCTAAACTGAGATGTTCTCATTGCTGGGGAGCATCTCTTCAGATCATTCCAAAGAATAAGCTGTTCGGTGCCAGGCTGAACACTCCTGCTCTGTGCGCTGGTGTCTCACCCAACACCTGGCACACAGGTGTGCATTAGGAATTGCTGAGGAACGACTTCCCCAAAAGCAATGACTCCCTATAAGGAAGAATTCAAATGTACTATACGAGCAGAAGGAAAAGCAAGCATGCGAGTCAACACACATACAGTTACCCCTTGTCAGAGGTTGTGTGGGCCATAGATTGTCCTTTTTGAGGATTATCTATGGATCTCAATCCTCTTCCTCCACCTCCTTTGGCCCTTTCTCCAGTGGTCAGAAAAAAGCATTCTCAAAATAATAAGCTCTGTGAGTTGGTAAGATCTTTGACTGATCAGTGAAAAATGATCATAGACAATGCATTTCAGGTTCTTTTGGGGGGCGGGGGTGTTCAGTCGACCCAGAAAGGTTTAAAAGTAGCAGAATTGAAAACCGTGTGCTTTAATCACAGCGCTGCTATACTGCAGCTACATCATGGGGGTCCACCGGGGTCGTCCCCCAGGGGAAGGCCCCGAATGACAGGGGCGCTACCAGGACTCCAGCTTGGAGAGGCTTCCTCCTTGGGAGCAGCCCACAGAGCCACAGAAAGAAGATCAATCTTATGGTTTCTTGCACACACCTGTTTCTGACTAGATACAGAAACACCAGCTTGATCACCCACATGCTCTAAATGACTTGTTGATTGCCCCAAATCGAATCCAACTGCCTTCAGTGGTGATTCATCACCTGCTGTGGATTTTTAAAGAGGATCTCTGACAGCAATTCAAATAAGGTTTCTGCCAACAGTTCTAGCAATGGCAGGATTAGTTCTCAGGATGGTGCCCGCGGATGGTGGCTGAAAATACCAGGCACGTGACTTCAGTTGCCCATCATCTGTCTTGTCTCTCAGGGTTGACAGCAAAGGACCCCACGACACACTCTCTATTCCCCACAGCCCATCGCGGAGAGCACATTCTTCAAAAATGCCTGTTAGCCAGTGGATTTCCTTATTCCATAAATTGTAGACATTCAAAAAGTCAGACCTCAGCCACTGAGAAGGCTGGAGAGGTCTGTGTGAATTAGGGTAGAGCTGAGGCAGAGTGAAAAGATGCCACAGTTTGGAGAGGGGCAGAAGTAGATGCAAGTCTTGGCTGTGCCACCACCTGGTTAGGACAGGGCATCAGCCATTCCTCCCTGAGCCCCTGTACAACCCCCTCCTTCCACCCAGCTATGTTAAATGACGTTGACGATACCTACTGTCCTTTAATGATGTTGACGATACCTACTATCCAAGGCTATGAAGTTTGAACGGGCTCCTAGCCTTCAGTAAGTAGCTAGTATTCACACTGTTAAAAGAAGGATTTTTTTTATAGAGGCTTACCTCTCTCAGAGTTGGCTTGCCAATGAAAAAGTCTGTGTTTTTGCTGCTTTTGGGTGGGCTGAACTTGGGATTCAGAAAAGCACATCCATTTGCAATGGCCTCCAGGGGAGCTGGGCCCTCATAAGGGAACCCGAGTCCAACAAACAACTGTAAGACAGAAAAGCACACCATATATAAACACATCAATCAGGACTGGCGTCCCTGGCTCACAGGGAGCTATTCTGTGCTTCATTCCCATGTGGAAGCCTCAGACACTCTGGAAGGTTCCCAGACCCTGGGGGGGTGGGGTGAAGAGAAAGCAGCTCACATCAGGAGCTGAGAAACAGGACCAGGGACCTTTACAGGCCCAGGAATCTGCTCAGCTCATTATGCTCTCCTCTGCAAAAAAAAAAAAAAAAAAAAAAAAGTACAGAAATGAGCGTGGGGAGTGGGGGAGAGGTGAGCAGTTGAAGGGGTAGGGAGGCGGGGGTATTAAAAGAATAAAAAACAACAACAAAAACCAAGACCCAACAATAATCTTTCCGTAACTCACCAGGAGACATGACTGGAGAAACACTTGCTTAACTAAACAGAAGGTTTCTTCATTGAACCAAAGGAACAACAGGCCCTTTCAGGGATGCTGGGCGAGGGGGACAGAAAGGTCACTTGGCGGTTTGATTACAGTTCAAATGGAGCTGCTTTAAAATGACGGTAGTTCAGTAAACACAGGTTTTCATAATGGGGTTTTCACTGGGGGACACCAACAACTTTGTTTTTATCTCCCCGTCAGCGGAGGGGAGAGGGTGCTGAGTGGCTCCACCAGCCAGACGGCTTCCCTCCTCAGCAAGTACACCATGCGCGTTCCCCACCTCAGACAATAGATGGCAGCCAAAACACACTCTCCAAGTCCTCCTGCAAACCCGAGCTCCAGAGCTGCTGGGACAAAGGGGCCTTGCTGCAGCTCACTGGCAATCATTCCTGGGTCCGAAACCGAAACAGCATCTCAGGGAAATGCCTCAGTGCAGCTCTTCCCCTCGGGACCCTTCACGGTGCTGGTGGGCTGGAAGCCATCGATGGCAGGGTCCAAGTCCGGCCTTGGGGAGGTGTGAGATCTCCCTACCACACCAAGGAGCCAAGGCTGAGATCATCCATGTGGAGACACATCCATCACCAAAGGATAACGGGGCCCCACGGCACCGTTCCCTTCTGCCATCACGCTGAGGAACACCCACGCAGCCAGGCCCCGAGAGTGAAGGATATTGGCGAAGTGGATACACAGCAGGCCTGATTCTCCTTTCACGGGGCCCTTTCCCCAGCGATTCCGTCTTTGTGGCTACTTAAATGGAATTGCTTGCTTAGAATGGTTCCATGTGGAGAGACCTGAGTCCCGGCCGCTGGGTTCCCTGGGCACCACTGAGAGATGCAGGAAGTTTGTGCTGGGCACTCAGTTTCGGGACTGAACACTGACCATGGCCCATGCTGGACATACTGTAGCCCCCACAGGGATTTTTCTGGGACAAGAAACAAAAAACCCAGGTTTTTGAACTGTATATTCTTTTGCACAAAACAGGGCACTTAACCTTTGTTTGTTTCAGAGGAATAACCTTCCACTTCCTGTAAACTTCGGGATGACCAAATATACTGCCAGGGACATCCACTGGAGGAGTTGAGGAGAGCAGCTATGGGGCCAGCAGAGCTCCCACTGCCAGCCGGGGGCACTATCCCTTGGGCAGAACCACTGGAGACATGGGTGAGGAACACCATGTGAGTAGGAGCCTGGAAGATGTAGAATAAAGGGGCATCTCCACCACCACCTGGAGGCCCTGTTTCTGGATTTTACTGTTATTTTTTTAAGATTTTATTTACTTATTTATTTGAGAGAGAGAGAGGGAGAGGGAGGGACTGGGAGAGAGAGAGAGAGAATGCATGGGAGGAGGGCAGAGGGAGAGAGAGAATCTCAAGCAGACTCCCAGCTGAGCTTGGTGCCCGATGTCATGACCTGAGCCAAAATCAAGAGTTGGACTCTTGAGGTGCCTGGGTGGCTCAGATGGTTAAGCATCTGCCTTCAGCTCATGTCATGATCCCAGAGTCCTGGGATCTAGCCCTGCGTCCGACTCCTGGCTCAGTAGGGAGCCTGCTTCTCCCTCTCCCTCTCCCCCTGCTCATGCTCTATCTCTGTGTCTCAAATGAATAAATAAAATCTTAAAAAAAAAAAAGAGTTGGACTCTTAACCGAATGAGCCACCCAGGTGCTCCTGGATCTTACTCTTCTTAAGTAGCTGACAGGAATGAGATTATCAGAGAGAACTTAAGTGTATAGTGTGTGGCCTCAGCATGCGGCTCAGGGGTGAGGGGTGGGGGAGGATGCCTGACAGCAGCAGAAGAAATGGAAGGCAAGAGTGGGAAAGACTCATCCCAAGACATCACAGCTTTATTAAATATGAAGAATCCAGGGTTACCATCCTTCAGGCTTTTGAGCTCTGTGATCCGCCCTCCCTATCAGATTTTTGGGAGGATATGCAGGCTCTCCAGGGGAAAGATGACCTCTCTCAGGTTGCAGGAAAGCATAGGGCTTCCAGATCCTTTTCACTCTGAGAAGAAAGGTGCTGGAAGATGCAGATGGGGGGGCTCTGTGGGTTTAACCAGAGACCTGGAGCCCACAATGTGTCCTGACCTCTGAAAATCAGGGCCTACCATGAAGTGCTGATACCTTCATCAAACTTAAATTGCTAAGAACTTTGGAGAAAATATAGGATGCACAATGATTATTTAAATAGAAAATCCTGGAAAAAAATTTAATTAGCTCCTTTAGACCAACCAATCTAAACCCATTAATTAAAAGTATATGGGGCTGTTGCTTAATGGACTTGAATGTGACCTAGGTTTAATTATATCTGAATAACAATTTGCACCATCTCGGCTGCCCTGCTGGCATCGAAACATCTCAGTACACAGAAAGTAAACATTTCGGGCTAACTCTCCAAAGCCTCACAATTTGAGAATGAAGCTTAAGCAAATACCATACAATTTCTTGGCAATGAGTTTTCTTGTCACGCTAATTAGGATTGCAGGAAATGCACAACTCAGAAACACCAAAATAACAGTTGTCATTTCTGTCAATAAGCAATTTTTTCTTGCTTCCTGTGTACTCAATACCTGTGACATTATAATGGAGCAGACAGATTAAGGTCAAATAGCACTCTTGACATTTGAATCACAAAAAGGGTAGGCAGAGAGAGCTCCTCACCAGCAAAGGGTAGCCCTTAAACTCCTGCGTCCCATGGCCTTGGCACACATGGGTGCCTTAACCATACTAAACTTCCTTCCCCCCAAGTCCCCAGCTTCCCCAGCACTGTGCTACTTACAGACATCCTCAGCATGGAGGCAAGAGACACATCACAAGAATTCATTCAAGCAGAGCTTCACTTTTCGAGAGGAAACTGGGCATATTTTATTTATACTTCATCTGGCCTTCAGAAGCCCTGAATCGAATGAGGGTATTCCAGATGACGGAACATTGTCATGGCTGCAACTCCTTCCCATCAATAAGCATTTCTAAACCCAGGGATTACATGCTCTACAATTAAATTTCTGAACTAATACTAAGCAAGAGAAAACGGATGAAGCACCAGAGATCTTATTCACGGCACAGGATTGGGACATTCCTACGTGTCCACAAACGGCTCAGTAAAACCACTCGGAGTCTTACCCTGTGTGAAAGGGAGAAACAGAATTGTTCTAAACCCCTAACTGGAGCAGTTAACAAGGAATCCTTTCAACATGGATCAAAGTGGTTCTTAGGAAGACTCCACATGAATTTGGTCAGTTTCCAGTCACTCTTGATGGGGAACATGAAGATAATCCAAAATAGAAGACACGCGCACCACGTAAGCTTTTCTGACTAGCGTGACCTAGCTGAACTGGTGGAGCGGCTCAGGAGGGAGTCTGAACAATGAATCAATCTTAGCTTATCCAATAAATTGAATACTGGCACAAAGTGATCAGGACAATGTGGGAACTGACAGCACAGGGTCTAAACTCAGGCCGACCAAAGTTCAAACCCTGACAGCCTCACTTCCTAGTTCTCTAACTGTGGGAAACTGTTACATGCCTCTTCCTATGGATTAGCTGAGGTCCATTATAACGTATTCTCTCCAGCTATGGGACCTCAGTCAAGGTTACACAAGCTCTCTAAACTGTCTTGTCATATGTAAAAATGGTGCAAATAATAGTGCTTTATTTCATGGTGTTGCTGAGAGGATTAAATGAGATATTTCATGGAAACGATGTATTCCAAGGTTTGGCACTGAAGTAAATGTTCACTGAACAGGAGTCGGAATCCAGATTCAACTTCATGCAGCTGCACACACACATGACCTTGTACTGTTTAGCTAGAGCTTAGGTGTGCCTGAGTTGTGGTTGTGCGGTTTACAAGATGCCTGGCACCTGCATGTGTATTTACGAGTTCTCACTATTCCACAAAGTACCTGGACTGAAATAAGGGGAGGGACATCCATCAGAAGAGTGAGAAGACATGGGTTATGGCGGCTGCCTCGTGGAAAGGCCAGTCCCATGAGCCATGACATACTATTGCTAACCTTGTTTCTTCTTCATATAATGATTGGGAATCCCCCTATTTTTGGTAATATAACTTTAAAAAGAATCTTTATAGCTTTAAACAGAATCCGTATGGTAGCCGAGTATGGAGGAAATGTATTCTCCTGAGAGGTGATGCCTTCATGTAGCCTAAAGGGTCTCTCTCTGGACGCGTGTCTGCCCTTCTGCACTCGATGCTTGAAGGAAGAGAATAGTGGCCAAAATCTCTCCCATTCAGGTTTGGCTATTCCCTCTCATGGGCTGCCCATGTCCCTAACCTAAACTACAAGAAGATTCTCTTGTAAAGAGCTAGAAGGTTTAAAGGAGACAAGACAATGATATACACCAAGTATGTTTAAGTGCCCAAAGGTTGTCAGAATTGCCTGCTATGTCAAAGGCTATTTCCTAGAGACCAGCTCACTGGGTAGGCAGCCAGACTATCCTTGCTACCCAAGTGGTCTTTCATAAACAAAACCCAACACAACACAAACAACAATACCAAGACCAAAAGTTCACCCACTTCGGTCATTTGGAAATAGCAGTTCAAAATCCCATGCACTGCAATTTGCATTACAAATGCATTAACTTGGAGATGGGCGGTGGCTAAGAGAAATCTCTGGATAAGTTTCTAACAGTAGATGCCGACCATCTTCAGCTGCCCAGCACGAACTGTTTACTGTTTACAAGGTGCGAGGCAGCACAAGAGGCCTAGTCACCGTCGCATTAAGCATGGGCTCTCATGGTACTGAGGCCAGAGGGTTCTTGTGACAAGAGAGAACTCACGGAGAGGGCACAGAGAGGGTTAGAGAAAATGGCTAGGACTACTAGAGTAAATCTCCGTGACCGTGTGCACCACGCTGACACGGATGCACCACGTTACAATTCGGCTGATCATCGGCTCCCGTCCTCCAGAGCAACCTCCTGCTCTTACTTAAGGGACATCACAAGTCACAGTGCAGTGTTTTGCAAGACTGGATGGTTGACCCTGCTTACAGCATCACAGAAGTTGTACATTGGTGTCCCTCTTCCTTCTTACTACCACTTCTACCTGTGCACTTTTCACATTGCAGTAAGTCCCCAGTTTACCTGTTTGTCTCCTCTACCACATCTGTGTAAACACTGGTGGGCAAAACTGCCTTAGTCATCCTTGTAGCAAAAATGCCTGGAGTAAGGCCTGGAATGTATTTGGTAGTGAATACACATTTGTCAGAAAAATGAGCAAAAGAATAAATACTAATAGATGAGATCTTTCCAGCAATCAAATGTCTCTGTGAGGATGAGGAGATGCTGAACGTTTTTGTGTGTATTTGAGTGTGTGGATGTGCTTTTGTTCCTGAAGCCAGAGAAGATACTGAATGACCTCGCTCTCCACTGCATTCTACACACGCATGTGGGAGGGCAAGAGGGAGAGAGGAGTACGTGTGTACCTAAATTTTCTTCCCATCTGGCTGGAATGGGAGTAATTTTAGGCATTGGCCACGAGGATGAAGCCTCCTTGACTATCTGAGGCTGCATATTTCTGTGTCTGAAATGGAAGATGGAAGATGGACTGCTCCATCAGTTAGTAAGCGCTGGGGCTCTCTCTCACAGGTCACACCTGTGTGATGTGTGGGCAATATGGTGGAGAGGCAGGCATGGGCTGTCAGAAGGACAGTGTCACCCGCTGTGGAAGCCTTGGCGATTTAGGTACGAGATTCATGAGCAAAGCAAGAAATGACTCTTACGGGCATGGTCCCAAGATCCCAGATGACTAATGGATTTCATCCTCTTTCCTTCATTCTTTATAGAATTAACCGAAGGCCTTCTACAAGCCAGGCACTGTTCTAGGTATTGAAAATGTACCTGTAAACAGAATAGGCAAAGCCCCTCTCTCATCACGGAGCTGCATGAGAGTCTGGTTCCATGGGTGGTGGCCACCTCAAGCCCTGGATTTTTGAGAGATTGCTCAACTGCATCCAAGCTCGTGGGAAAAGTCATGGTTGATGGGGGATCAGACATGGGGATGGGATGGAACAGGGACAGTATATACCGTATATCCTCCAACCCTGCCCAGGAGGCTAGGTGAGTCCCACAGCCAAGCTGATGAGCTGACATGGTAGGGCAACAGGGCTGTCATGACCTGCCCGCGTGCTGGAGGGTGAACGGCCAGAGGTTGGGGTAGCGAAGGGGTACAGCAACAGCATGAGCAGCAGCAGCTTTCCCCCCTTGTTTTCCACAGCCAGAATTTGCTCTCAACTTTTTACTGTAGAAAGGGAGGTACCTGTTCTGCCTCACTCCAAATGCTCCTCCAGTCTAGTGTAGGATGGGAATGCCCCTTCTATAAGGAGCTTCCGGTGCTAAGACTGGGGTGGGGGGTGGGGTGGGCACGAAGAGGTTAAAATTAGGAAGGAGAAGAAAGAAATCACATTAAAAGAGAGGAAGCCTTAACCCCCAAATAAAAACATGCCACCCAGTGCGTGCTTCAATGGTACTCTGGGAGTCTGCTGGACTGAAAGCCTTGTCTATGGTCCTCTGATAAAATAATTAATTCATCCAAATTTATATGCTTATTAGAAGAGTCTGTTAGATTCAACAACTTCCTGGCTCTTTTAGCCCCAATTTTAGTGTCACACCAAATTCCTCCATCTTCAGAGGCTCCCTGTGGCTGGAGCCAGCTAATGACACGTGGGCTCTTGTGGCCCGCTGGGGAGAAATGCTGCCGAGCACGGGGTTTCCTGGGCCTGGGTGCAGGGCTTCGAAGACGGCTCATAAAGAAAAACAATGAGTGAGGAGCTGATTAAGCATCAATCAGTTCCACCTGTCTCCCAACCTGAAGGAGCACCAGACTCCTTCCCTCTCCAGTGAGTCTGACGAGTGTGCGGATCCCATTCATTCTACCGATGTTTGCTTCTCCGTATCTCCAGTTCTCCACTTTCAACGTGGATTGGAATAAATCGCTTTTAAATTGCTCAGAGACACAGAGGAAGGTGTTAGAGGGAGAAAAGGTTATAAATGCAAAGCATGACTGTTCTTTAGTGTCATTATTTCAAAGCCCGGGATCCATTCATTTCTGTGCCTGCTGCTGTGTTCTGGGTATGAGGGGAGTCTCTGCAACACATGGCCTCATTTTCATCGTATTTGCCAACTATTTTAGCCATAATTCCACTTGGAGTGTTTTAATATATTCCAGTCAGATGAACAGGCAATCCAAAATGGGATCAGTGACATCCTGTGAAGGCACCAGTTTCTCAAGGATAAATATATGCCCCTCACACTCAAAATTCAGGCCGCAGTCCTTGGCTGTTTGGTGACCTCCCACATCGCGGCTCGGACACCACGGGCCTCTTCTCTTTTCCTCCCCAGGACATCAGGGGCCTCAGCTTCGTCCTATTTCCCACTCTCTGACAGGGTAAGTGGATGGTAGGGGAAGCAAGGGTTCTTTTAAAATTTCCAAGGCTGAGTAAGACATTCACGAGGCTGGGTTAATAGGAGTGCGTGAGACAGTAATGACACGCTGTTGAAAACCAGCGCTGCCAAATGTAATTTTAAAGGAGCTTGAGCTTTTCCCACCATCTGATGTGGGGAAAAGTAAAATGAGGCAAATGGCAAAAAATAGCATTGCCACTAAAGGGCCCGGACATTCTAACGATTCTAAAATGTCATCCTGAGACAGAAAAAGAACGGGCAGCCGAGAATACAAACTGGGGAACGAACACACTTCACTCCTGGTTGTCAGGAACAGTCATTGGACTACAGATGACCTTGCAAGGAAATGAGATCTTAATTAGTACAAACCAGATCTTTGGCCAAGGAGATAAATAATTTACCTAACTGTTTTATTCATGGCACCACCAAAATGACTTGGAGGTAGAAATGATCAAATGCATTCACATAAAGAGAAACTGAGGCCGAAAGGAGGTACATATGCTGTTGGCTGGTGAGTGTCCATTAAGTGTTCTCCAGTTTGGGTGTTTACTCATGAGGATGGTGCCTTTAAGGGCCTAGCAGAGCTTTAATTTTGCAATCAATCAATCAATCAATCAATCCATGAGTTAGGGTCGCCTGCCAGGCAAAGTGAGTGACTATGGGCCAGCCGAACGCTCTAGCCTACTTTCTCCTGATTACGATGAAGTTAACAACAGCACCTTCTCCACCTACCTCTTTGGGCTCTTGTGAGAACAAACAGGGCAGCGTGTGTGGATATGCTTTCCCAAATCCAAGTGTCACACAATGATGAGAAATTGCTCTGAAGCCACAGAGCCTCTCACCCACTCAGCCTTCCCCCTACCTTATGAACGAAAACCCCGCCAGCCAGCCAGGGCCCAGAACTGAGATAGTCACTGTTGATAACAAGCTGCCCTGTGCCTTAAGGAAGGGATCGCACTTGTTTTCTTCACTCTAACAGTCCTTGCACCATGTCTGGCTCTTCAAAGCCAAACTCGGATCTATTTGCAAGTCCCCTAAGGTCACGTGGTACTTTCCCAGCAGAATTATAGGCAGTGGGGCAAAATGACGCTTTCATCACACCACTAAAATAGTTCTCCATCAGTGGCTCCCCCAGGTACCGACCCGATGGGGTCTGAGGTCCATCTGTGCCTGCGACAGTCAGCCCCTCAGCCCCTCAGCCCCTCAGCGAAGGTTTCCTCCCACTCTTTCCCCGGCAACAGAGCAGCTGGGTGGCTTTGTGGCTCCCTCCGGAATGTATCTTCTCTGCTTCCAGCACGTGGCCCTCCCTCGTCTCTCCTGACGCCAGGCCCGCCCTGCCCAGCACCCATCTCCAAATCTTTCACAGTGCCTTCCCTGCTCCCTGAGCCCGAAGGGACTCTCCCTGCCCCCCGCCCCCGCCCCATCTGAACTTCTTCAGGGTCCACTACCAACTTTTTGAATGAGGAGGCATGAGGAAAAGCCAGTTGGGGGGCCGATTCCTTGAAGCCAGTGGGGAAGTGAGGGAGCCGGGCACCCCAGGCAAGCTTGCTGTGACAGCCGCTGCTTGATCACGAGGTCTGACCCTCGAGACAGGGCCTTACCTTTCCTGGTTGCCACCGTATCCCCAGCCCCTCACTGGATGCCTGGCACAGCGTGGGTCCTTGGTAAGTAAGTTTTAAACCATAGCAACGTCCTTCCATGATTAACTTTAAAGCCACAGCTGATCTAGAAAGCCACTGCCCAGAAATGACCTAACGAGTTACTGCAGCATTGAAAAGACAGCGCGAGAGATTCTGACCCCATTTGCAACACCAACAGAAACAGACTGTAAACCACACCACTGATGGATTTTTACAAAACTCACTAAAAACCTACCTTGGTTTCTCGGAGAAGAAACTGCAGGTCTCGTCCACTGAGGATACCGTGGTTTTTCACGTAACTGGGAATATTCTTCGTGCTGGAGCCGTAAACAGTCGCGTGTACTTCCATGTAGGTGTGAATAATGTCCAAATAGATTTTCTTATTCTAAAGAGGGAACACAAAGGGAAGGCATTTGTTTTTTTCTTTTCATTCTAGTAACAACCTGCCTCAGAGCTGGAGGCCACAGAGACAGAGTTCTTAATATAGAGGTTGCAGGAATTTGGCATTCCAAACCCATAATATTTCTTTCAAAAGTAATCTGACTGGATTTTGAGGGCAAACACAGTCATACTGCCGCTGTACAATTCTGCGAGAAGGAACAGATTATGTAGCAATATATTACTGAATACCAATGATAGCTCAAGGCCAATTGCTTTAAAGTATTATCCCCACTTTGTAAATTAGCAGGGACCCAGCACTTTGCATTTGGCTCCTCTGCCTTATGGGGCAGGAAGTTTGGGGAAGGAAAGCCCAGAGAAGGCAGTCAATATTTATCTGGAGATGCTAAGCTGTCCCCGAGGAACGCAAACATCCCCAGCTCTTGCCAGTATTTCTAGTGATGATTAACGTATGTTGTCAGAACTGGATCCCACCTAGTTGGGATGAGGGAGAGACGAGAGTTTCCCACAATATGCATTGATTGACTCGCCATCTGGCGAGATAATGAGCATACCCAGGTAGACAAAAAATGGAAAAAAGATTAAATGTAAACTTCAATGAACCCTGAACCATTCAAAAGTAGTTTCATTTTTATTAGAAGCAAAACAAAACCTCTTTTCTGTACTGAATTTCGAGGCACATTTTCTAAATCAAAACCACCCATGAAGTGGAAGCAACTCGTTTTCCCTTCCTCTTCACGTTTCCGTGTGACTAAGTAGCATAAGCTGGATTTTGTAGGTTGCTTTTTCTTTTTTCTTTTCGAAATTTGAAAGATTCAAGTTCTGTAATGTTTTCCAGTTATACAAAAGTGGGACAAGTTTTTTTTCTCATTCCAAGCCCATTTTCACACACTCCAGGAAAATGTATTACTAGCCAGTTCTATGACTAGAGACCGCAAGGGATGCAGGGGTGTGGCACCAGCGGCCACAGAGCTCAGGGAAGGGGAAGGGGCTCTGCTGGGGGGAGGGCGGCAGTGCTTCCCAGCCTCCTCACAGTGTTCTGAGACGGGCTCAGGGCCTGCCCTCTGCCGTGCGCTGCCCTGGTGGGGGATATTACAAAGGGCTCTCCATTTTGTGGGAGGCATGTTTCAAATCACGTATCAGAAGTCTTCATGGCTGGAAAAACAGCCTCGTTCCCTTCTCTGTCTTATGCACCAAGATGATTTTGTTCAGAAGCAACCAAGTCCATGCCTGAACTCTAATGTATGCATTAAATGAAACACTTGGCCTGAAAGTTTAATTTCATGCCATGTTTGGTATGGCTGGAAGATGTTAAATTCATCACTTCAGAGATGTGTACCCTTGAATTAATGCAGAGGTGACTAGAAACAGTTTCTAAACCCTGACTTCCCATTCATAGCTTGAATCAAATTTAGGATCACCTCCGTGATATACATTAATTTGAGGGGTTCTAGGATATGGGTCTTGTGCCAGATGTACCTGGTGATTCCTGTCCCCACAAACCCCCTTCTCAGGGACTCCATCCCCACCCACAGCCCCCTGGTGAGGAGGGAGGGAATTCTGTAACTCCGGCCCCCTGCCACTGCTGACCAGCCCGGGGTGTGTCTGACCCGAGGGGGACCCATCTCTAGGCTGGCCAGGAGCCTGGGACGTGGCCAGGCTCTGGAGGGTGAGCTGAACCAATCAGACCCTCTCTCAGGAGCTCAGAATCTGGTACACAGAGAGATTCCTGCCAGATGGCCATGGGCTATAGAGCAGAAAGGTCACTTTGTGTCAGAGTCTGGGCGATTAGGAGCCAGACACAAGTTCTGAAGAAAGCAGCTGCCAGAGGTGGAAAGAGAGCCAGGTGAGAGTTGACAGGAGGAAAGGGGAAGACCGAGACAGACAGTTGGTGATCAGAGGGACCAGTGACTGAGACCAAGCATGACAGAGAGACAGGGCATGGGAGGGAGAGGAGGAGGAGGAAGGAAGATGGTGGGAGCCCATGAGGAAAGCAAGCACAGAGACACGGAAGAGCGGAAACCTGGTCCCGGAGCTGCTTCTAGGTCCCACTCCATCCACAGCTGTCCCCTAGTCCCAATTTCCCAGATTTTTCTGGATCCTTCCAGCTATAATAACAGCAGCTGCCTTCCCCCATTCCACCCCACACTTTCGCTGGAGCTACTCTGGGTGGATTCCTATCATCTAAAAGGAGGCCTGTTGGGACATCTTGTTGGGCTTTGTTCAGGGACTGGGCAGGCATCTCCCCTTTGAGCAAAAAAGACAGGCTTCCCTATGAAAAGCCAGCTGCTAGCTGGTGAAGATGGACCAAAGGCCCTTGAATTAGGTCCGCAGTGAGGGACAAAGAACAGTGAATGACCCACATGGTTCCTGTCCTGGAGGTACTCACTTCAGGCAGACCTCAGATTAGGATTCCCAGACCCAATGCCCGGGGAGTGAACAATATACAGGACACAACACACGTATCGCCATCAGTTCCAGAAGAGGTGGGGCCTCCTTGAAATATAGCAAGGTGGGGTGGGGGGAAGCTCAGGCAAATAAAAAACAGCATATGCAGGGGCTAATAATAAAGTCTGCGAATTTATTAACGTGAAGGCCTGGTCAAGTCTGAAAGGAGAAATTATCTTCAAAGAGGATTTATGTAATTTCACGAACGAGAAAATCAAACAGGTTATTAGAGGAGAACAAATGTTTCCAACGTAACTCTAAGCTTTGAAGCTGACCTGACAACTAGGTAATTCAGCCCAGGCCTCTTGTTACCACCTGTGCAGAGTGCTGCAGACATCGAGTGAGGGTGACTCACGCCACGGATCCCAGAGAAAGGTGCCCTGGAGTCACCCACACGGAGCTGCCTCCCCGCTCAAAGGTAATGTGCACTGGATGCTACAGGAATCCAAAGAGCCAACTCCACCTTAGGACCATTGCCTGTATTTCAGGTTCAAATGTCCAGCTGCCTCCTGAACCTGTCTATCTTGCTGGGCTGCAGGCACTTCCAACTCAACAGGTCAAAAAGGGAATCCATCACCTTACGTTCCCAGACCAGCGCCACCCTGTGTGCTCCTCATCTCAGTGACTGACATTAATCCGCACCAGATTCCTTAAGTTCCTGCACTAGAATCACCCTTGTCGTTCCACACATCAAAGTAGGCACAAAGCCCTCTTGATTCTGCCTCCATAGTACCAAATAGGCCTTGATCCTAGCCCACCTTGATGGTGCCAGGATTAATACAACCGGCATCTTAACACATCTTCCTGCGGCTCAAAAAGGTGATGCACCTTGGCCAAGATTTCGACAAGTGAGCAGCAGCTTTGGGACTGACCACAGAACAATCTGTGTGGCTCAACATCACTTTTGAACCATGCAAAGCAATGCTATGTACATGGACATTTGCAGTTAAGTACAAAAATATGCATGGGGATGACAGACTCCACCTGCTGGATACAGATTACTGAGGGGGCAGGGAGGGCTTAGGGAGGTGGATGAGATTTAATGGTATTTGTAATATATAATTTCCCTGTTAAAAGTTGCAAAATATTAACATTTACATAGTTGGGTGGTGGGTGTTTGCTATATTAATTAAAATAGAAAAATTTTAACTACATGCAATCAAGAACAAAGAGAAACCGGTCTGTAGGACTTCAAAGCTGCCACCACTGGCACCTCACTGGAAGGCTCAGCTCCCGCCACGAAGAGAGGCTCAAGGGATCCTCTTCTCTCTTCGACGTACATTGCTATCTTTGGGGTTTAAGAAATAGGGTGCTGATGTTTCTTAAAGTAACCATGGCCCAGCCTGCCTTCCCCAACCCTTGGGTAGGACAAAAGTGGGGAGGGAGATGTGCAGGGATGGGGACGCTTCCCAGCATCTCCCTCCCTTCCTTTATTTTAGATATTCAGGCCCAGGGCAAAAGTGCTACCATGAACCGAGTGTCTTGGATTTTGTTGATCCAAGAACTGGATTCAGATCACTCCCTAGAAAGCCTTCCCTGTCTGATCTAAGAGACCAAGGTCAAAGAAAATTATCTACTCCTCAAACCCTATCACCTACAAGTTAATGAGATGCAGTCAGAAGCCTCTTGCACTGACTATCAAACCCAGGCAGGCCACCACCCCTTTCTGGGGGCTGAGAGAGAGAAATGCCTCCAGTCCCAGCTGAGCAACTTGGGAGCCCCAGAATGCTGTTCAACAGCCTCTAGTTCAATTTAAACTCATATTAAAAACAACCAATCAAACTGATTAAAATTCAAATCTACCTAAACTCATTTGGAGGTGGGGGGGAAGGGGAGATGAAAAGGCAAAGGAGAGAACATGCTGGAGCAAAGGAGGAATGTTTTCCGTGTGTCTGTGGATGCTGACGATTGTCGCTGGAGGCAGGTGCATTTTCAGAATTGATCATAAGCTCTCCGGAGCTTGAATAGAGAGCTTTAGGAAAACAATTCAATCTAAAGCAATACCAGTGCGCTTCTACAGCAGCGGGAGAGGCAGAAAGCACAAGTGGAGAACCACGAGCCCTTTCCTTTCCCAGCCGGTGAATTAGGAGTAGAGGAATGTTCTTTGGCAAATGTCAGTATTCTGAGCTTTTGGTTGCACAGGGATCTTCTTGCCTGCAATATCCCTGCTCCCCACTGCAGACAACATACATCCTTTCTCCGGGAACCCTACTCCCCTCATCCACTTGGCACCTGTGACTTGTCAGTTTAAAATAAATAATTCTATAGCTCTGCCCAGAGTTTGTTGGTCCAGGGAAAGCACCTGGTGAGTGCTGAGCCCGTGGGCATCTTCCCTAGGAAGAAATGACGGGTGTGGAAGAGCCAATCCCTCCCCAGAGTCCAAAGCTGTGCTGCCACATCCAGCGTGGGTCCCGTCACACGCAGGTCAAGCTCCAGACAGAGAAAAACGAAGTCCTTGCTTAAAGAAGGCCAAATGTGAGACAGCACGTGTTCTGGTAGGGTCACGAACCACGGTTCTAGTCAGGTCTCAGGTGCATC